TTCTTATCGGTTAAGCTTATAATACCCTTTTCTTAGTAAGGGTTGCATTCCTCTGCTTCTATTTTCCTGATAGTCACCTTCTCCTAATTGTGTATTGTTTCTTTTATTTTGTTTTCAGTGAGCTGACTCCTTTCCGTATTTCCTGTAATGCTGGCCTCATAGTGGAGCATTCCCTCAACTTTTGTATGTTTGGAAAGATCTTTATTTCTCCTTCATATCTAAAGGTGAGCTTAGCTGGATACATTGTTCTAGGCTGGTAGTTTCTTTTACTTAACAGTTTGAATATATGATTCCACTCCTTTCTGGCTTGTAAAGTTTGTGCTGAGAAGTCCAACAATAATCTAATGGGTTTTGCTGTATAATTTACCATTTTCTTCTCCCTGGCTGCCCTGAGAATTTTGTCTTTGTCGTTGATTTTTGATAACTTTAATACAATGTGTCTTGGTGAAGGCCTTTTGGGTTGAGGTAATTGTGTGTTCTGTTGACTTCTTGAATTCCAAGCTCCAGCTCATTCCTTAGATTTGGGAAATTCTCGTCAACTATTTGCCTGAATACCCTTTCTAGTTTCTGCTTCCTTTTTTTCCCTCACCTTCGATAATGCCCATTATTTTTATGTTTCCTCTCCTGATGGTATCGGCTAGTTCTTGAATTTCTCTTTAACTTCATTTCATTCTTCGGTTTCTCTCTTCTTCCTTCTGATTGATTTCTAGATTTCTTTATTCAGTATCACTGATCCTTTCCTCCATTTGGTCAACTCCCCAAGCTTGGTTTGTTATTTCATTTTTCTTCTCTTACAGTGTGCTCTTTATCTCCAGAAGGTCTATTCCATTCTTTTTGAGGGTTCCAGTCTCCTTGCTAAAGAACTCATTCTGCTCATCTAGTTGTTTTTTCAGTTTCTGAAATTGTCCATATGACTCATTTTGGAGCTCACTGAGTTTTTTCAGAAGTACTATCCTGAATTCTCTGTCATTTAGGATACATATTTCTATGTCTATAAGCTTATTTTCTAGAAATTTTTCTCTTTCTTTCTGAGATGCCTTGTCACCTTGGTTGTTCATGGTGTTTAATGGACTATTTCTCCACCTGAGCATTAATGGATGTGTATTCAGCTTTTTTTCCAGAAAGAAGATTTATTATACAAAAGTCTCTCTTTAGCCTGCTGCAAAGAAGGCGCTTTTCTTTTGGTTTCCAGTAGGTGGCGTCTTAGCCTCTTGGATCCCTGCTTTATATAAAGCCTTAATAATGCCTTTTTTTCTTATAGATGTTTAATTGCGCTCACTACTCTCAGTCTCAGTCCCTGTCAGTGTTTGTGACAGTTTCGGTAGTGTTTGCCACAGTTTCGATAGTGTTTGTTCAGATTCCCCTGGGGCTCCGCGGTGCTCACTCTCGGAAGTTGTGGGGGGAGGGGCTCCCTGGGTTAAGGGTTGGGGACTGTGGGTCAGCCTCGGTTTTGCAACCGGGACTGGTAAAAATCAGCTGTTGTTTCTCTGCCTTCCCACTTCTCTGCTTTCTGCCCTGATGACTTGGCCCTGCTGTCAGCCACGTGGAGCTCACAGCACTCCCATGCAGAACTGTTCAGAGAACTCACCACACCTTCTTCCCTTCCCCTCCTCCTGCAGGGAGCTCAGGTTGCTGGGAGAGGCAGCTTCTTTCTCTCTCCCAGTCCACTGCCCGACGCCCGGGGTTCTGACCTGTGGATCTTATGTGCAGATCCCACACTCAGACGTGCTGGTGTGCAGCTTGGGTGTTTTATGTTGAGTTTTAGATGTTCAGCCTTTTGTCGTTTCAAGGGGAGAATTCTGGGGACCTCTTTCACTCTGCCATGTTTCTCCAAACTCTTTACTAAATTCTTTAGGAATTTTTTTAAATGGATTTTCTTGAGTTTTTATGCCAGCTACCAATAATAATTATTTTGCCTCCTTCTTTTCAAGGTCTTTTTGGGTAAAGAATTTTTTTACATCTTGTCTAATTTTTTATCATAAATAGATTTGGATGCTCTTGTGTGTTCTCTCTCTACATATTATTTTGTAGTAGACTTTTTAGCTTCTAAGCTACATATGATATTTTTTTCCTTCTTATTAAGTTGATAAAATATATTAACTCGGAGGTAAATTAAGACTTACTTTTCACTGAAACTCTTTTTTTGTGTTTCAGAGGCCCATCATATTCACATGTTATAGTTTTAAAGAATGGGGCAAGGTAAATCACACTTCTTGCAGAGTCTTAAACTCATAGAGTTCTGGATCCTGAAGAGAGCGTGGGGATCACACACACCTCATCAATGTGCTGACTGTGTCCCAGAGGCTTACTATGAAGAAGGGGCTTCCTGAGGCCCCATGAGTGCACCTCCCTCCTGAACACTAACTCCACACACTGAGTCTTTGTTTTTGATACTCTTGAGCTCTTTTCCACCTTAAGCCCTTTGCACATCCTCTTTCCTCTAGCCAGATCCTTACTCTCAGATTCAAATCTCAGCCTAAATTTCATCTCTTTGAGAGGGCTTCCAATCCCCAGTAGCTAATTCTCACTAACAGACACTTCATTCTCTACCATATTATCCTGGCTTATTTTCTTCCTAGTATTTGTCAGAGTTTGAAATTACATTTCTTATTTGTTTCTACTACTCATTTCCAGTTTTTCTCTTCCCTGAAATGGCAGCTCCCTGAGAGAGACTATATTCCTATCTGCTAGAACATGCCTGCCATATAGTAAGTGCTCAGTAAACTGTCCAGGTCTATGTGGATTACTCTCTGAGACCTTTAGGAAGTAGTTGAATGAATGTGGTTGCCTTACTAGAGACTGTCGCATGCCAAGGTGGCCTCCACTGCCAAGTAGGTCACACAACTTCCTTGGTTATGTTTCCTCCAGAAATCAATTCCATGTCAGCCCGAGTCCTGCTCTTTCTAGTGATTCCAGGCCATCTTATTTTCTTCATCATCATCTACATGGTGGAAGGCCATGCAGTCCCAAACAGCAAGACCTTTGTGGTATTCTATCTACTAGCAGGCTTGATCCAGGTAAGGACAATTATGGCAGCAGCAAAGCAGCATCCAGTGTTTAATCAGCCAGCAAGCTTTGTTCACTGCCCTGGGAGAGAAGCTGAGGAGGTGGGGTTGGGAGTTCCTGGACATGCAGGATACAGTGCTCAGCTTCCAGTAGTCAAGTCAACTCATTCAAGCCCAAGAGCATGATCTAGACACACAAGCCATTCCACAATCCCTACTGGATACTCTGTACTACACATTCCACACAGCATACTCTGCATTGCACACTGCAATAGGGCACACTCCACATAGCACATTCATAACTCCACCTACCACCAGGCACAGGGCTGCATACAGCTCACTGCACACTCCACCAGAGGATCAGAGGAGCTGTCCCGAGGGTTTAGCATGTTGCAATGAAGCAAGCTGATGACCAGGTCCAGCTAATGAAATGGGCCACATGCATCACTCATCACATACATGGGGTGGGCAGGGATCAGGCCCCTGCTGGGGTGTTGCTAAAAAGCATGTGTGGACTTTAGTCATAGCTGGATGGTGATAAAGACATGAAAGAGATTAATGTAGTGCCTGCCTCAGAGTAGGACTCAGCAGACTGTGCTAAGACTACAGCTGGCTGATGTCCCACTGGGCCTGGGGCCTCTGCAGGGATAACTGGGCACTAGTAGGCAACTCTAAGGGACTAGCATTTTCACATTTCCTTGAATTATGGCATTTGCAATCACAGAATTACCCTGACCCTGAAAGATAGGTTGGAGCAGTCTGAGAAACTGTCCTGAGCAACAGCAGCAATAGAGGTGTTAGGGTCAGCCCACAACAAAGGACCAAAGAACCCTGAGACCTGACCAGTGTTGTGTGGACTGCCCCCTGGCACCTTCAGGAAAGGCTAGCTGTGTAAAGCTGCCCACAAGAGGGCCTCCAGCAAACCTAAGTTGAAGTCCCAGCAAGATTTATGTCTAAAGTTCCAAGAATGGTGAGTGGACTTGGTACAGCAGAAAAGGTCAAAGCTGTTGAGCAGCAGCAGGTCTATCTGGCACTTCAGGATGCCAGGAGCAGGGTTCATCCACAGGGAGGGAGACTAAGCAAGTGTGGATGAGGGTGGACTCATCAACTCTACACAAGCTTATAGCTAGGCATCAGACTCCAAGAGAAGCTCAAAGAAGGGGACTACCTACAGTCGATACGTCCTCCTTGGTGTCTGCCCTTGAAATCTGCTAGTGTTTCTTGATGGCACTTGGCTTTCTGACTTGGTCATTGTCTTTTGTGTCTGCTTGCTCTTATGACAGGTGACAATCCTGCTGTATCTGGCAGAAGTGATGGCTCGGCTAATGTGGCACCAGGCCCTGGATCCTGACAACCACTGTATTCCCTACCTCACAGGGCTAGGGGACCTCCTAGGGACTGGCCTCCTGGCACTCTGCTTTCTCATCAGCTGGTTATTGAGAAGCAAAGCAGAACTAGATGGCATTTCAGAACCAGTGTCTGGATCTCTCTAATGAGCTTAGGCAGCCCATTAATCAGTAGAATTTTCCCTCACACCAGCAGAGTATAGAATGCAGTATTTCCCTGGCTGGATCCCTAGGTCTCTCTGACTCTCCAATGGCCCTTTTGTCAGTCTGCTAAGGAAACTCACACACACCTTGGCCCTGAGTTGGAACCTGAGTCCATGATGGAGCCTGATATCAGAAGCATTGTTTGTAAGTGTGTGAATATGACTACTGTGCTGGGTGAGTGTGTGCATAAGTGTGCATGTGTGTGTGGAGAGCAGGGTGCTCTGGCCTGACTGTGCTAAAGGAAGAAGTGTGTCTGGTGAACTTTGGGCAATTTGTTGGCTCTTCTTCATGCCATTGCAGCTCAGATTGAAGTGGACAGGAAGGAGATCTGTTGTGTGCCCAAGCCTCAGGACTCTTGGCCCTGGCTTAACTGTTCTTCACTAGGTCCAGTTCCGTGGTCCACTATGCTGGTATGCCCTGAAAATGTGTGCAGCCCTTCCTAGGCTGGGGCCTTCCACCCCCTCTCATCTGCTCCCAGCATTTATTCTTGACATTGCTCTTTTTTCCCGTTTTTTTTTTAAGCAGAAACCTCTGTTTAGATTATAATGATCTGAGAAGTATAAAATAAAGCATAGATTATATTTTGTTTGGCGTTTTGTATTTGTAAAGATACTAATGCAACCATGAGACTTGGGGTTTATAAGTAACAAAAACCTCTGGCATTTCTATAGCGTAATGTTTGTCATCCTCTAGTCTTCTCTTAGAAGCATCAACATTGCAGGAAAAACTGTTAGAAATGCAAATTAATTCCCCCAAGCCTAACAAAACAGAATGCCGTGGGCGGAGCCCAACAATGTGGGTTTAACAAGCCCTCCAGGTTGTTCGGATGCAGTCTTTCACCTGAGATCCACTGCTCCAGAACGCGCATCTTTTTAAAAATATATGTATGCTCACTTCTTGTTTCATCTTAACTCGTCATAACAACTTTAGCCATGGTTTGGACTGAGGATTATTATCTTCTGTTGGCCTTAAAAAAAAAAAATAGCAACATGGGTTTATTCGGGAACAACAAAATTGCAATTTGGGACATGCAGTCTAATGGTGACATTGTGCAAGTACAGAAAAACAAAGGAGAGGAACACTTTTATGGACATGGGAGAGGCTGTTATAAGTGAAGAGTATTGGAGGAAACTGAAAGTTCGAAGTATAGTGAATTTTCATCGGCTGAGTCATTGCAGTCTCCCATTGGCTGAGCTGTTACTGGGCAAAGAGGAATCTTCTTGCTGCGGTAGTAAAGTAGTATCACTTCCTGTTGGGGAGTCACAAGGTATGTCTCTTCCTGTTGGGGTTATTAGTGTGCTTTGAGTGACATACATTAGAGTTCTCTCTTCTAGTCTCCCAACTCCATTTTAAATGAGGTTTCTGTTTATTAATTTCACACTTCATATGGTAAAAAATCATTCATTCAACAAATATTGACCAACAACCTGTTGTATCTTTCCCAAAAGGAAATAGATGTCAGCTAACTGGAGTAATTGGGCAGAGTTTAAGAAAGAGACAGTTTACAGATACATGGGAACAATGAGTAGTGAAGCACCTTGTGGATGGGTACAGTGAAGGGAGCTGCTACCACCAAACATTCACTTGAATTGGAAAGTAATTAGGAGTGAGTGCCTGAGAGGAGTTCTGTAGTCAAGAATTAGAACTACCAGAAGTTAAATGTCTAGGGGTGTCATTTAGGGATGGTCCCCAGAAGTCTCAGCCTCCTGGAGTACAGAATCAGGTGAGGGTGGAAAATGGATTTGGAGGGACAGGTGGAGAATATCCAGCACACCTACAATGCTAAGCCCCAGGCTAGGTACTAGAGATGCACTTATGGGCAAAGCACTTATCATTGCTGTCTCAAGGATCTACTGAGGAGATGGTTAATAATCAACATCTTACCAATAAATAGTAAAATTCTAGAGCTCCAATAAGAAGCACATAGTATATAGAAGTATATAATAATAACTGCAAAGATTTATTGAGCACTTACTGTACCTTGTTCTGAGCAGTTTATTTGTGTAAACTCATTAATAACCTCAACAATTTGATACGCTAGATAATTATCTGTTTATAGATTAGGAAACTTTGGCATTATTGTAATAGTGAAATGCTCAGCCTCTCTGACTTTATTTTGTTCGAGTCTGCTTTGTTCCCATGGCCTTACATGTTAATCATTAGAGGAATTCTGCTTGAGGCTTGAGTTTTACAAAAACAACCCCTTACTGAAAACTGCCTCCCCTGAGGAGAAAAGGAAGTATGTACAAAAATAATAATTGTTTATCAAAGATTGACAGGAACCTCATAACTAGACTCACACCAACTAGAGTCAAGAGACTAAAGAAGTTTCACAATCTTCTTGGACCTCTGCTGGCACCCTTTTTTTTTTGCTGTCATCAATCAACCTTGAAGCCTTCCCATTTCCCCCTTCCCTTGATATAAAAGAAGCCTGAATTCTGTACTTTCCTAAGATGGTTCTTTAGGATGCTAGGCCTCCATCTTCTTGGTTTGCTGGCTTTCCAAATAAAGTCACTTTCCTTGCTCTAACACCTTGTCACTCAACTCTGTTGCCATGTGGCAAGTGGGACAAGCCTGGACTCAGTTACAAATTTGCAACTCAGGAGGCACAGCTCATAGCTGGTTCGTCCAAGAAAGGGAGGGCTTTCTGGGTAAGTCCCTAGCAATGCCGAGGCCATTGGTCTCGGAGGCTTTACCTCTAATTCCCCAAAGCAGCACTGACTTCCTCAGTACCTGGCCATTGGGACAAGGAATCAGCAATTCTCTGTGAGCTGACGGGCTCAATTTGGTAATTTGGAAATAGGGTAAGTATCCCAGCATGTACAACTGGAAACTTCCTTCCCCTCCATTTAGGCTTTTCCTTTGGGATAAGCCAATTTGTTTTGCATTTGTTTGGGGTATCCTGTTGGAGAGGGGAATAGTTACAGGAATTTTACCTAATTTATGAACCAGGCATTTGTAATTGTTTCTGTATCTGCTTTCTGTTTCTTTGTACTCTCTCTCTACACTTTTGGCGTAAAAAATAGGAGGTGCTCCTTCTATCTCAATGGATAATCAATTAAGATGAATTCTGAATAAGTGGTCCAATTACCATTATGAATCTATGACTAAGAAAAGGATGGTATTTTACTGTAACACCGTATGGCTGCAATACATATTAAGATCTGAAGAGCACTGTGCCCAGTGGCTCTCTTAATTATTTTGTGAGAGAGCTGGGAAAGATGATGAAATCCCTTATGCACAGATGTTCGTGCTATTGCACCAAGATGAGAAGAAATAGGACAGTAACTGTCTTAAGGTGCAGAGGGCTGAAAAATCTCCCAGAGAAGAAACATGTTTTACAAGAGGGAAAAATAGAGGATGGAGAGAAAGAAACATTGGTTCACCATTACTTTTGCCTCCTCCTCTACCTCCCGGAAAGATGATGAAATCCCTTATGCACAGATGTTCGTGCTATTGCACCAAGATGAGAAGAAATAGGACAGTAGCTGTCTTATGGTGCAGAGGGCTGAAAAATCTCCCAGAGAAGAAACATGTTTTACAAGAGGGAAAAATAGAGGATGGAGAGAAAGAAACATTGATTCACCATTACTTTTGCCTCCTCCTCTACCTCTTGTGCTGCCAGCACCAGTGCCACCTTCAGCACCTCCAGCATTAGACTATTGCCCTTGATTAACACAGGGGAACAGGAAGTGCCCCAAGTAGTAGGGCTACCCCCTTATGGAAGTCAAACTGAATTACCCCCTGAATCAGTACACAGGCCACAGAAATATGGTTTAGTTCCTCCATCTCAGACCCAGCCTGGAAACAATTTGGCCTGGGCAACTCCTTCGGGTCAGGACAATTTCCATAGCGCTGATACCTATAGAAAGGCTTAACGCCCAAGGTCAGAGGCTTGGGATTGTGTATGTGTGTGTGTGTGTGTGTGTGCATTTAATATGTATGTATATATAATTTGTTCTTGACTTCAGGTCTGTTTAACCCTATAAAGAGGAACTCCTCCACATGAACAAACTTTTTATTTTAGCTGGTCTGTGAAAAGGGTACCTAAACAAAAGAAGTTTGAGTATTTGTCAGAATTCCTAGAAAGGATACTGATGCTGACCCCGAGGCCCCCAAGAATGTTAGGATGGTAAATATAAACTTTATAAGACAAAGCAAACCTAATAACAAGAGAAAAATGCATAAATTGAATGGAGCATTTGGCATGAATTCCCTTCAATTGGTAGATACTGCTTCTAAGGTTTTTAAGATAGAAGATGCAAAGCAGAATGCCTCCTCCCTGGCCGCTGCATTGGATTCCAGAAAGAAAGGCATTGGGAAAAGATTGCCCCAAGAATAAAAAAGGTGAAGATGGAGGGTAAGTAAAAGAAGCCTCTCAAATAGTGGAAAATTCAGATGAGGATTGAAAGGGCCCAGGGGCTCCCTTGGGCTTAAAATGCCCAATTACAGTTTCCCCACAGGAGCCCTGAGTGAAATTGATAGTGGCGAACAAATTGATTGACTTTCTGGTAGACACAGGTGTTACATATTCAGTTATAAACACAAAACTAACAAAAAAAAAGACTATAATCAACTCCAGTTACAGGAGTTTCTAGAGAAGTGCAGAACCACTCCTTTGTCCAGCCTTTGGAATGCCATCCAGGGGACTTTACATTACCTGCCTGAATATCTAAGCCTTCTCCTGGAACAGGATCTTCTTTGCAAATTAAATGCTCAAAATGTGACTTTTTCACCAGGACAATAAGGGTCCCACCAGAACAAGCTTTGAACTTACATGTGGCCCCCATAAGCCCATTATTAAAAAAAGAAAAGCAGACCTGCTACCCCCTGAGATCTGTGAGGAGGATCTGCAAGCCATAAACGAAGTAGTTCAGGACATGCATCCTGTGATGGAGACCACAGTCAACAGGAAAAACAAAAAATCACACTTTGAAAAGGATTTTTGCCAAAATGTCAGGAGACAAATTTGACTTGGGACAAGGTGTTGCTGGTTACCCTGTTACAGATTAGGATAGCTTCCAAAGCAGGCTAAATTTAAGCCCCTGTGAAATTCTGTATGGTCAGACATTCCAAGGTCTCTGCCCCAATTGGTGAATCAGTCAGTGCCTTGCAATATCTGACAATAGCTAAAACTCTAGGCACTATACTAACTTCTGTCTATAAGTTTGCCTACAGCAGGTCTGTATAGCCCATTGATGTGACCCTTAACCTTTTTTAGCCCAAGGTCAAGTCCTTAAAACCTGGAGAGAACAAAGACCTGAACAGCAACTGGCTGCCAAGTAGATGAGGTTGTTCGAGGTTCTGCTGAAAACCCACTTGTTTGTTAAACTGGCTGGAGTGAAGCCATGCATACATCCATCGGAAGTCACCCCACCTCAGAAACAAGTCAAACAGTAGACTTGCAAAACACTTAAAGACCTGAAAGAGATAAGTAAAATGAAAATATATATGCTTTGTATGTCCTGGCTCTCTTCTGGGGAGTCATCCCTGCATAGAAAGATTTCTTTGACTACATCCTCCTTCCCTGGTGGACAGTGACAGCTAACCTTAGCTATTATTGCAAATGAAACCACTTTAGCTCTTGCCAAGCAGCAAAAATCCTTGAACTCTCTTGGTAAAGTTGTGCTTGACAATCATACAGCCCTAGATTATATGCTTGCTGAAAAAGTATAGTCTGTATGGTTGCAAATACTACTGGCTATACGTGTATCGATTCCTCTTCTGAGGTGGAGACTCATATTGCTAAAATTAGATAACAAGCTGCTTAGCTCCAGCAGACTTTGGATCATCAAAAGGGATTAAATCTAGGTGATATGGGAGACTGATTTACAGGCCCTTTTTTTATGGATCCCTAACGGGGTACATTCAATCCAGGGAGATATCCTTAAATTGTATCTCACTCTCCTCCTTATAGTGATAGTAGCCTATATGTTATTTATAAGAAGAGGCTGTGCTAACTTAGAAAGCAAAAAGAGAAATGCCCATGAATACTCCTAGGGTGTCTATGCCTAAGAAAGGCACTAAAGAATATTCTATAAGTCAAGTCAAAGGGTTCTATTTCCACAAGTTCTCCTAACCGACCTTGTGTGTCCAGATGAGAGACAACCTCCCTTTGTCCTTAATCCCACAGGATTGTGGAATGGACCATTGACAGTGAGGAATTGTAACAGAGTGAAATGCTCGACCCTCTGACTTCATCTGCTTTATTCCCATGGAATCTGCTTTATTCCCATGGAATCATTAGAGGAATTCTACAAAAATGGCCCCTTACCAGAAACTGCTTCTCCTGAGGAGATAAGGGAAGTATGTACAAAAATAATGATTTTTATCAAAGATCGGCAGGAACCTCATAACCAGACTCACACCGACTAGAGTCAATAGACTAAGAACAAATCACAATTGTCCTTAGACATCTATATAAAAGATTTCCCATTTCCCTTGATATAAAAGGGAATTCTGCACTTTCTTAAAATGGTTCTTTAGGACACTAATCCTTTTAGGACACTAGTCTGCTCAGTTTGCTGGCTTTTCAAATAAAGTTGCTTTCCTTGCCCTAACACCTTGTCACTTTAATCATTGGCTGTCATGCAGCAAGTGGTATGGGCTTGGACTTGGTTATATTATGAGATTTCTTCACTTTCCTAGGGTCCTATGGCTACTGAGTGTTGGCACCAGGATTTGAACCTAGGCAATGTGGCTCAGAACCAAGTTACGCAAGTAGTGCAGAGGTTTGACCAAGACAGTCCAGGAAAGGTCTTTCCTCAGAAAATGCCATTTAAGCTGAGATCCAAAGGTGAGTAGGAATTAGGCAATCATTGAAGAGGTTTGGGGGTGAGGATGAGTGGGAGATACAACATTCAGGAAGGTAGACCTTTAAGTAGGTAAAGGGGAGGAAGAGGAGAGGGCCCAGGACTGAAGCCTGAGCTCCTGCAACGTTTAATGACCAGTTAGAGAAGAATGATCCTGCAATGCAGAGGCAAAGAGGAAATATCAAGAGAGGTAAGAAAAAAATCAGGAGAGCATTATGTTCTTCCCCCAATGGGGAGAAGAATGTTATAGAAGGAGAAAATGGTCATCAGTGTCTAATTTTATTCAGATCCAAGGAATTCACGGACTTTAAAATGTCTACTGGATTTAGAAACAAGATTGTCCTTGGTGAGAACTGTCAAACAAGCTCAAAAAGAATTTGGAGGCTTTAGTTAGAAATCAATGATAATGATTTATTCAAGGTTCTTAGAGTTTGCAAACTTGCAACATAGCTAGGCAAAATCCCAGAAATGTTCCAAAGAATAAAGACAAGTGAAAAGTTCTTATAGTAAAAAGCGTATTCTTGAGAATTATTAGTCCTGCATTCTTAGCCTTAGGATTTGTCTAGGGTGGTCATCAGTCATATGTCAGGCAGTCTGGATGATAAATGCCAGGTAGATGTATATGTGAGTCCTTTAGGGGTAATCAGGATTATCTGGAGGTCCAGAAGTATATCTGGGCATTGACACAGGACTAGAAAGTTTAAAAAAAAAAAAATACTAAGCTAATTAGAATGAAGTCTTTCTTCATAACTCAATCTTCATAATGTTAGTAATTTTAGCAGCTTGGTTAAAGTGATGCTGTTTTATATATTCCTTCACTCTTT